TTGATTTGTTGAAGAAGAAAGTTTTCCCTTTTTGTTTTATAACTAAGCCTTAAACCATCCCAGGAAAAGCTCCATTCCGTTTTCTTGTGACGCATTTGACAAAGAACTTTGTGTGAAAGATTTCATTATTTATTATTATTAATTTAAAAATCGTTCAGTTCCCGCGACGCGTCAAGCGCTGCCTCTAATATTCGGACGATATAATCGCCCAGCAGAGTCGCGTAATTCAAGCACATTTATTTAAGTGAATAATGCGCATCATCAGAGATGCCACACTGAACGGCACGGCACCGACGACGCTTTTGCTGCGGTGGAGTGGAGTATCGAAGGATGTTCGAATGAGTCCATACGACTTTTTTGCGCAAAAATTGGAGCTGTGGCCTTCCATTTTATGGAAGCTTTTGGGCGGGCTCTTGGTGCAAGAATTAGAGCCGAACGACCGTCAAGCGCGTCACACGTTCGGTGCAATGATCACCGATCCCGATTTAACAGAAAAATTTTGTTCAAGTGATAATAATCCACAAACAATCATTCCTTATGGAGTGCTCTAAAGGCAGAGAGAATCATTGGTACATAGTTCTTCAAAAATGAAGCCGTACAGTGAATTGGGAACGCTATACAGCTATTACTTATGACTTTTTTCTGGCTGCATTGTAGGATGCTGACCAACAAGACGGGGCCGCATGCCATACAGCCAACGAAACAACCAATTTATTTATGAAGGAAGCCTTTGGTGAGCACATTACCTCGCGTTGTGGGCCTAAAGCGCGGCCTTCAAGATAATGTGATTTCACACCGCTGGACTAATTTTTGTGCAGTTGTGAGAAGTCGCTTGCCCACATAGATAAGCCCGAGGTGATTGACGCCTTGAAAGAGAATATTCGGTGCGTTATTACTGATATGCGGCCTTAATTGTTGCAAAAGATGTTGGAAAATGAGCTGGAATTTATTCTTGGCTATAACGTTAAATTATATTCGATCGATTTCTTCTTAAAAACTACATTTCTAAAAAAAAAATTAATTTAAATTTTTGAAAACCATTGAAGAACATCTCTATTTGCATAAATGATACCTTATTGGTCAACTATCTAATAAATAATATTTTTAGTAAATTTTTTGTTTTTGCTTTTTGCACCTACGTCGGAAGGGGAGAAGAGATGCCTACGCTTATAAGTCTTCTGAAACATTGGACAAAAGGTCTCATATTTCATAGTTAAAAATTATTGATAATTCAATTCGTATTTTCTCCAAACTCTGTTGATACACAACGCACGAAAATTTATTGAATCAAATCGGAACGTCTGCGTGGAAATTTGCATTAACTTCTAATTTATATTCATTTAACTTGCGTTTAACTAGCATATAAACATACATACCTACTTGTAACTGTAAGCATGTTATGTGACGCATTTTTAAAAACTCAAAATAAAACATTATCACGGTGTGGGGTCACAACTACTCTGTGTTTGCGTGTGTGTGTGTGTGTGTAAAAGTGTTATTTATGATGCCATTGAGGCGAGAACAAAAGCGTCAATTTGACTTGTGCTTAATAACACCGAATAATATATGTATGTATGGATATATGTATGTATGTATGTATGTTAGAATGAAGAAATCTTTGCTTTCCTTTTTGTGAGCGACACTCCTTTGCTGACATGTGGCTAACTGGTCTTCATTTAGTTGTTAGAAACTGCATAGGAATTGCTTAATAATTGCCAAAATAATGATTTGTTGTGCTATTAAACTATAAAGATATGTACATGAGGATGTATGTGTATTCTAAAGTAGATTAAATTGTATAAAAAGAACCAAAAAAAGAAAAAAATAAGAATGTGCTCTCAAGTAAATAGATGTTAGGCAGAGGCGTTTAAAAAATGGTTCAAATAAAAACACCGTTAAAAAGTATAAAAAGATACTGAAACTAAGACAATACCGCTATTCGGGACTAATATCTTAATGATTAAGTTTACTATTTTATTCCAAGAATTCTTCAAATTTTACTACAAATTATTTTTTGACGAACTAGTATTAAATCCTGGAAGCGATTGCCTGCATCATTGGAAATACTTCACTACAATAATTAGTGTGTATCAGCGTCTGATTCTACGAACAACATGGTTTTTTGCTGAAACGCTGAAATAAGAGGTCGTACGGCACCTGACGTATTCTCCAGTAGCAAAACGAGTGGGAGAGAGGGGAGTTTCACCGGTTCACCGGGCATTTTAAAGAAATGGAAAAATTAGCATAATGGTTGGTTCGAGGACAAAGAGGACTAAATTCGTAGAAATGGTATTCGAAAATTTTGATTTTAATGTATTTTTTACTTTTTTCAATTACACACACTTTTTTTGAAAAAAAAATAAAATTTTTAATTAAAAAAAAAAAAACACTAAAAAACCCATTTCATCAGTAAAAAATAAAAAACTGGCGAAAGCAGTAGATAAAGTGAAAAAAGGCGCTTTTCTTGTTTTATCCATTTAATTAAAACAACAACGTACTTTTGCTAGTTATTAGAACTCATTATTAGGTAAGATTTAACTGATTAACTCCTTAGGGAGTCTTAGGTAGAGGATGCTACGTCCATGTCGATTCCAGAAGCACTACATGCTCTAGCCTGCATAACATTACTGTCTTTTAGCAATTGAATTGCCTTTAACCGCTGAGGACTGAAAATCCTGGCATTTATCCTCGACAAGTAAGATCGTCCATTGTCTGCAAAATGCCGGCTTTTTATTTCGATCCGCACTCGGCTTTTATTCAATTATTTTCTACTCATTCTCATTTTGAAATTCAAAAATATATTTGACAATTTTTTTTTGTTTCATACGGCTTTCTGTGGCTTGAAATTATTATTATTCTAATACTTGCTCAGTTAGTTTGATAATAATAGTTATCGGAGGCACATCCAAACAAAATATTCGAAAGTTATAAGACATTAATTTAAATTAAAAATTAAGCTAAATTTGCTTTAATTCGTGCGGTTTTTTTTTCGAAAATTAAGACTTTATTGTGAAAAAATGATTTTAATCATCTGAAAGCGGTTGCTTGATCAACTCCTAATATTTTTGGCATGCATCTGCGTCTAGGAATGTCTCCAATTCTTTGTCGTGAAATTTTTTTGCCTGTTCGTCGTCTAAATGGAAATTGCCACTTTTAAACCGTGCAAACCACTTTTGGCACGTTCGTTCGGCTAAAGCATGGTCACCATAAGCGTCCAGTAGAATACGATGGCTTTTGGTAGCACTTCTCTTCATGTTAAAGTAATGCAGAAGAACTCCCCGCAAAAACACTTTATCTGGCTTAAATTTCGACATTTCCAAATGAATGAGCAAATTGTTGTTCACACTAAAACAAATGACATCTACCCAAAACGACGCGAAGTGACAGTACCTTTGCAATGAATATAGCCACAGATGAACACGATGCGAAATAATACTAGTTGTTGGAAAACGAATAAATGCATACACCCAACAATTGCGGTCGTACCACTTCACCCCTCCAAGTTTATACTGTAGGTCTCTCCATTAGTTGGGAATAAGATAAAGACGCAAAATCAAAAATTGGAGGTGGAGCTTGGCCGAAAAGCGCTTCAGCGGTAACAAAACGCCGATTATATATATATGTATATACATATATATATAGAGTAGTCACAAGAGTTTCTTCACTAATTCATCTTCGTATAACACTTTGCTAACAAAAGATTTACTGTAAAAGCAAAGCAACATATCTCAGAGAAGTATGGTTGGTGCTCCACAATGTAATGTTTTGGGATCCATACTACATATCCCAATCACTGCAGACACTCCCTCCAACCACCGCGAAAGTAGTAACCTCAACATTCGCAGACGCGACCATAATTAGAAATATTAGTTTTCTACAATTGCCTCAGGTTGGTCAAACCCTGGTCTTAAGATTGGCACTATGTTATGCTAACCACTCGGCTATTGTATCGAGCCATATTTCTGCTAAAATACCGAAATAAACTTTAACTTTAAATTGCCAGCCTGAATTGGCCTTTATGTAAATATTCAGTTCTACGTGTGGAGCACAAAATTCTTGTATAAAACTCAGTCATAACATGAATCTGGATTTATAGCATACAATTATGGTGTTCAGCTTGTGGAATTACTCTGTAGAATACGGGATATTTACGCAGATATCCTAGCCGAATCCTTTAGGCCACCTTTTATACCACCCAGTAAAATGAACACGCCTTCAAGGACAGAATCTGCCAATCTTCTCAAAAGCAACGATTCGCCAGACATTCATTACAATGAATGGAATAAAGCTAAAAAGAAAAGCTGATTCACATAAAGTAAGTTATTTTTGAGATCTGTTTCCATTTTTCGGTTCGTGTACAAGGTGCCCTTCGAAGTGTCAGCTTTATACTAGTTTTATATTAGTTCATTTCGGCATGCTTAGTTTCCATTTCACTGCGATAAACGCCATTTTGCACACATCAACAGATCATAACTGAATGATGGAACATAACTCTGGCGTGCTAGCTATAACAACAACACACCGTAGTGGAAATTATCATTATTTCCATTGTGAGGGAAACTGCTATCCATATAAGCAACGGGGTTCGTGTCTAGGGAATGTCTAGCATTCCGACTGTGTTTCATGATATGAGATAAAAAGCCCATCATAAAGATGCATCGCCTGTTCGGAAGTGGCTTTCAAAAGTATAGGTCCCTCTATTTATTAGTGAAACCACAACTCGCACACCACAAAGTACTGTTACGTAACTAAAATTTTTGCGCTTTAGCCTACCTAGAGAAAACTTACAATTACATACTTACACAAAAGTTATATTTCATGAGCTTCTACTTAAGGAAAAGTTAAATTTTCAATTTTGTAAGAATTTTATTTCACTGTATATTTATATTAAATAAGTTAGCATAAACTATAAACAAATCGCGCTTAAAAATTATATCACAATTTTTTAGACATTTTAAATTATAGAAATAGGCTATATGTATGTACATCCATATCTAGAACATATATTTTTATAAACAATAAATATAACTTATTCCGGATTTTCCATAAAATCATTTACAACACTTTTACTCTTGCATTTTACATAAAGTACATATAAGAAATTCGTTAAACAACCGTTAGATGGTAAATCTTAAAACTAGTGATTTTGTGACTTTCGTATAAGATCATACATACATACAACTATCAAAGATAAATTACCAATTAATGTTAAGGATATACATTTGTAGCTGTATAGTAACTGTATACCCTCTTCAAGGTAACATTGTAGTATACAAGAGTATACTTTTACTGCAATATGTTCGAAACTAGAATAACGATATTACAATATCTGAACTACTAACATACGCTTCATGGGCATAAGAACAAATTTTTTCGTAAAACAAAACACCTTGACAGATTACGGGTAGTACAACACATAAATTGTTTGGAATTTTAAATAAAAATTTGCTGCGAGTTTATTAACGACTTTGAGGTAGAAGTGAGTATAATTAAACTGAGTAAACTTTTAAAATAGCAATCGATTATCATTTAAATTATGCTTCCTACAAACAAAAAAAGAAAAAATACTTTAGTTATAGTTATTGATAAGGGTGTTTTTAAAGGTCTGGTTTTCAATGACGTAATAGTTTTTTCGAAGTTGGTCTCTTTGACAGCTGTTACTTGATTTATTGTCAGTTTGGGTTGCCATTTCAGTTCCAAAATTTGCAGATCGTACATATTCATTACCAAAACAATGGTTCGGGTCGAGCGACGTCCAATAATCGATCTGTACAATAACCTAGCAGAGTCGGTAATTCGAGCAACCATGCACCGGGTTCGCACCCTGCTTGCTCTAGAGAATAATGCGCACTCTTAGAGATGCTTTATGGTGCGCACCGAAGACGCTAGTAGTAGTGGGTATAAAGTAGAGTATCGAAAAAGACCAGAATGAGTCCATCCGCCAACGCATCCGCATCAATTGGAACTGTGGCCTTCTACTTTGCGGAAGATTTTGCCGAAGAATATTGACTTACGGGCATACAAAATTCAACTCGTGCAAGCATTACAGCCGTCAAGCGCGTTGCGCAATCGGTGAATGGGCACAAAACGAGAAAATTTGGTTTTATTTTATGGTTTGAATTGGAATTGTGGCATTTGAAGTGATGATAATTTCACAGGCTGTTCTTGAGACGTCGTTACATCCTCAAAAAGTTAATGTTTGGTATGCTTTATAGGCAGAGGAAAACGTTGGTTAATATTTTTTCAAGAATGAAGCCAATCGTAAAGTTAAAATCAATGGCGGGGGCTATAGAGCCATCATTAAAGACTTTAACGTATTTGAATTGGATGCCCGAGACAATTGACGCCTTGCCCGAACTCTTCTCTCCTCCTCTCATTTCCACACATGTCAGTCTGTTTCACATACCCACGCCTTTTGGCATGCTTTACAACTAGATTAGTACATATCTATGTATACTATAGCTATGACTTTACAATGACTTTTGCGAAGCGCCTCAATTAAATATTTAGTACTTAACGCTATAAAAAGTATGCCTACAAATTATCAGCTGATCTCTTTAAACATTTAATTGCTAAAATCTAACTATTTTACAATACGTTTTATCTCACAGGAAGCACCTCAAATGGTTGTTTTGGGATTTCTAGTAGCCTTTGCTTTTGACGTCGATGTCAGTTACTAGCTGTCACTCATCAGCTGCTTACATTTATCCACTTGTTGCAGCACCCGATCGATGCGATCGTTAAGTATCTTCACCGATTTATCCGGCAGCGTTGGCAGCACATCGCGTACCTCGTCACTCGCGGTTCGCTCGAAAATCTCGCGAAGTTTACGTCCTGCGCCAGCCTCCCGCAGCTGACGCAGCGCACGTATTGTGGGTTCACGAAATACGCATAAGTTGTTAAGTAAGAGACCGTGATAGGCCTCGTATTTCTTGAGCAGTCTATATCCATGCAACAAACCAGATTCGTTGTCGAGAAAGAGCAGTAACTGCGACTTGGACTGGCGCGCCAGATTGTGCGCAGGTGCGGCCATTATTTCGGCATTCCATTGATAGTTGTAGAGATTGTTGACGACACGATCAAGGTTCGCAATCAAATAGTCGAAGACAATCAAATCCGACCACTGAGCGAGTTCGACTAGGTGCTCGAGTGCAAGCGATGTGGGTGTAATTGGTATATCTACCGAAGAAACTGCATCATTGTGTGCGTAAGCCACCAAAGGCGTCTGAACCGTAGCATCACTAGCTGTCAATGCCAAAGTAATATTCCAGACATCGTGTTTGTTCAAATGACGATCGATCGGTTGGAACGGTTGTGGTATGCCCGCCGGCTCGAGATAAGGCAACCATCGCGTTAGCACTACAGGACGTTGTTGTTTCCACTGGGCTTGCGTTATATCACGCACTACCGCAGACCACTTGTCAGACTCAACGTTTACCGTTAGCACAGCGCTGGGCGCAAGATTGGTCATATTCAACAATCGACCTAGGTAGAACGAAAAGAGCTCGCCTTGTATTTGATCGGTGTTTTGACGATAGCGCGCACAGGCGCGTGTGCCATCACGAAAAATCAGCAGTCGGTTTTGCATGCGCCCACAGCCAAGCTCAAGATGCTGCACTACCGTCTGGGAGGCCACATACGCATTCCAATCACGCGTATCCTGCGCGCTGAAGCCCTGTGGCAATGCGCGTTCCACTAGCTCACCCCAATAGATGTTGGACTTTATTATGCCGGGCGCGTGCGGCGATGATATCTGCTGGGTTTTATGCACATTGGGACGTTGCAGTATGTTTTTAGTGGATGTATTCTCATTACTGCTTTGTTTCAAAAACGCTGGCTCTGGAACAGGTTGCAGCATTTTCGCAGCGCGTTGCTCTGCCGTGCGTGCTAGTGGTTCCCCCACCATACGCTGCATACGCACTTCTCGTCTATCCATGGCGCTGTGTTCCTCATGCATATTTACGCTGTCGCTCAAAATCTCTTCCGCACCAATACGTCCGTGATGTTCATTTATGAACGCTACAGAGAAAGCACTAAGTGGCGTATCCTCGTGGCCGTTGGAGACCGTTGACGAAGTACGATTTAATACGTCCAACTGCAAGCTATCATCGTAAGGCAGTGGCTCCAATGCTATTTCCGCCAAACCGTTTGGAACGTGGTGCAAAGTGGTTGCTGGCGAGGACCTTAGCGCATTCGTGGGCGCTGCGGTAGACATATTCGTGAATACGTTGCGCAGATCAACCATCGGTACGAAAATTCCCAAGAACAGGCCAAAAATGAAAGCAGCCATTATGCAGAGCAAACAAGTCTGCCGCTGGAACCAACGTCGACGGCTGAGCGGCAAAAGTGATAAGGACGACGTCGTGGAATCACAGCCGCCGCCGTAGCGATATGGCGGCATGTCGCTCAAACTGTGCGGTTGGAGTGTCGCGGTGATTGTGTTGGGTGTATGTGTGTGCGTGAAATTAAGGTCGAGCTGTTGGAGGGGCGCCTTTGTGATGTATGGCGTATATAAATATTTACCGTTATATTCACTAAATACTGCACACGTTCGATTTGTCGACTTTGTGTTGATTGGTGTATCGACTTTAGAATTGTCGTTCATGGTTTTGTAGTTTTCGTAGTTTGAATTACTTTTATTTAATAGAAAGCTTGCAGCTTTAAGCTTCAAATTAAGCACTCTTATGAAGGTTCGTTGAAAGTTTGCACAATCAATGCGCTTTTGAAGTTCACTTTTCGACAGTTTTTCACTCGGCTGTCATTGTTTTTCGGTTTCACTCAGAAATCCAGGAATTTTCATTCATTTTTTCACTGTTAAACACAAAGAGGTCTCTTCATGATTTTTATACGTTTTTAAATGGCTCTTGTTTTCCTGATATTGGTTTAATTTGCATCAGGTTCACAGTTTTTATGCCAAGTTCACACTATTCTTCTTCTTCTTTTCGTATGGAACTACTTCGGCGCTCTAATTTTAGGCATATTTTTTATGGAGTTTTAGTCGTTATTTTTATAGAAAATTTCACATTTTTTTTACTCATTTCACTAGTGCATTTGATGCGTCGTTTGAGTGCTGCTTGCCGACGGCGAGTGTGCCAATTTCACGCTAATAAGATTTGGTCGTAACGTTTGACTAAGTATAGTTTTTGGTGGATTTTTGTGACACTTTGTAACTCGATTTTCATTAATTTCTTTTAATGCCACATTTTCTCTGCACAATGGCACATTTCGTTTTCATAGGTATACATTCAATTTTACCGTTACAAATAGCGTCAATCAAATTGAAATTGCCACAAAATATGTGTCAAATGAATATTTATGCGATTTTATATGTACATTCACTAAACTGTGAAAGAATGCCGTTAAACACGCCGTCACTGTTACATATTCGCAAAATATTTTAGGCAACAACAACTTTTGCGACTGCTGTTGGTGAGCGTCTTTTTTTTCTATATATAAAATGCTTTAGCTGACAACGATCGATCACCGATCGGGGCTAGCGAATTCACTGCGCACGCATTTCCTTTGTAGTTTGACGAATTTATTTTGTAGTTTTTAACAAAAGATTCCAGCTGCAGCCAGCATTTAATGGCAAAAACTTGCAAGTGAGATTTTTAGTAATTTGGGAAATTTATTATTTTCAGCACCACGCGAAAAATCTATCCGCTTATTGTACCGCACGACACGAAACTCAACTGCAAACTGAGTCGGAAATGCTCGAAACACAACATTAAAGCGTTGCTGGGCGCCAGCAAATACTCTCCACACACAACTCGGTGCTCACGCGCTCACAAACACTAGCGCGTAGCAGCGGAACGGCGGACACTACAGCACCTGAGTAAGGTTGGTAGGACCTCCGCCAGCCAACGCCATCACCTCGTTGGGGACATTTACAAATATTTGCTGTTTGTTGACACATGCGCATCTCTCTATGTGTGTTTGTGTGCGTGTGTCTGTCTGTGGTTGTGAATGGTGAAGAGAGTGCAACGTGCGCCACTGTTTATTAACAAACACACACTGATCCGTGCAACAGAGAGCTCATTATATTTCCGTGCTATTGTGTTGGTGAGTTCTCGCTTGGCCCTTACTTGGCTGATCTCCGCGGTTATGCTTCTGCGTTGGGTTTGAGCGTTTCTTACAATTAAGAATGTGTGAAAAAGAGCATAAACGTCCGTAAATATTAACTAATTGCTCTTGTTTTTGCCCTCAACTCTGTTATTAGTTGTGCTTCCATATGCATTTATGTGCTTTGGTGGGGTTGTTGTTGTGGTTATTATTGTTGTTATTGTTGCAGGCAGCGTTCATTTAAAGTTCCCAAACTTAATTAAGTTGTCGCATGTGGTATTCTAAGATTTTCGAATTTAAATTGTTTATGCATATGTTTTATGAATGTACTTAAATGCAGATTTCACATTTTCTGATGTGAGAATTTCTTGTGTGTCTATGTGTGTGTATGTGTGTGTGTGTGTGTGTGAGTACTGTCGCCAATCAAATTTGAAATGTGCAGATAATGAGGGAAAATGCTGCTCAAGTTTGTGTCTTAAGTCTTCTGTTTCGGAGCTGCTTGCACATGTGGCGCAGTCCAAATCATTCCTTGAAAATTTTCATTATCACCTTTAGGAGTGCTTACGGGAATGCCTGCCAGTTTTCGTGATCATTTTGAGGACTTATTAGTTTTGGCTTATGAATTTTCTACTTGGCGGAAAGCATTTTTGGGATGAAATGCATAGAAAGATCTGAAGTATTACTGATTTTTTTAAGATACCTATGCATTTTTGTTATTGTGCAATCAAGTGGAATAGTTGATTTCGCAACCATTGCTATGAGTTCTCATAATAACGTGCTTAATATGAAAATCTTTTTCTTACGAAGAGAAAAAGACTTGTACAATTTTAGTGCATAAATATGAAGCTGAAGAATTTAATTATTTTTTTGTTTATTAGGTAATTGAACTATTCGAAAATTCTTAGAAAACAATAAATCTCTGAGAAATGAGAAATGAGTATATGGTTCAGTGAGCTAGACATATTATCGGTGAGGTAAAAAAATTTCAACTTTGAAAGTTTCTGCAAAGCTCGCGGATCAGACTGGGTGTTAAGTGCGTAATAAATGTGACCAGTGGATCTTTTTTTTAAGTTCTGAAGGGTTTTCTTTTTATAATCAGTGAATTTATTTGCGAAAATTCTTTATCTCCAGTATAGCTCCCACATCTCGCTTTACTGATCTACATACATGTATGTATATTAATATTATTGTGGAGCGCAAACAGCCCATAATCTGGAATACTTTACGACGATGATAAACTAAATCATCCACCACAACGCTTCGCTCCCCTTCCACTCTACATGACGGTCAGAGTGCATGTATGAGTCATCATACATGAATAATTCAGAGAGTAAAATATTGGCTATGTCCAATTATGATTTTCGGACTGTTTGCCAATTCAATATTTTTTCCAATCGGTTCGATTATTATATTTTTGAGTTCGGTTCGGTTCGGGTGTTTTATTCGGGCCGCAAATAATCGAGCTTGAGAAGCGCTTGATTCACAAATTCAGCAAATATAATATAACCTGATGTCACCTACCTCCCACAGCAGGCAAAAACTGTTGGAAAAACCTTAAGCCATGCTTCCCCATTTACACACATATATATATATGCACTAGCAGACCCGGCCATTTGCGCTGTGGCTTTCTGTATTTTATCCAATTTTATTCTAATTGATATAGCATGGAACGAGGAGAAAAGTCAAGATTAGGACATGCTTGACATAAGCCAAAGGCATTAATCGGATATTTACTTATTCATTCTTGGAACGAGCAACCGCAGATAATAAAAATGCGAGGCTGACATATGCACCTACGCACTATTTATGCTCAATGAAAATCATACTAACTTTCAACAAATCGTCGGTGATGTCTGTCAAAAAGAAAGTATTATTTATATATGGAGAAAATCGATTTTTATTTCTGGTCTCTGCTCTACTTCCAGGAAGTTATTCTATTCATGAGTATTCATCCAAAAATTTAGCTCGAACGAACCATGAATATGTGAATTTACCTATGTAAATAGATCGATCCACTTCCCATAGAAAAAGGATTTCCTGTAAAAAGCACTATTAATACGATTTTTCTAGAAAGCACCACCTACATATCCAACTTAAGGCAAACCGAACCTAAAATCGGGTTCTTTTCCACTTCCAGGTACCATAGAAATGATCTGAGAAAATTTCAGGTCAATCGGTAGGTAACTTTTCGATAAATGTCAGTCTTCATAAACGAGCGTAAGATTTCTGTATATGAATATAGGGCTAACCATTTCGTGGTATGGCACCGAAAATAAATAAATAATAACATTTTTAAGAAATTTGAAGAGATTGCATTGGTTACTGATATTATAAGGCCTGTGCATTATCGGTTTGCTCGTTTTAAGCGGACAATTTGTGGTTTCAACAAGATGGTGACATTCCACACAACACAAGCGAATTGGGTGAGATATTTCTCGGCAGCGTAATCTTTCCTCTTCGCGATCTGGATAAACTCTTAACTCTTGAGCACTTGAAAATCAACGTTCGTTCGTTATGAACGAGATACCGCTCAAAGGAACGATCACAATGGAACGAAATTCTTAATAATAGTAATTGTCGCTCCTCCCTTAATTGGCGGATTTGCGTCTTGTTGTTTTTCCAACAAATGGAGTTTATACCAAGCCGTCTCCGAGCGGCTGATGGTTCTCTACACTCGGAGGCGACCCTAATAAGAAATTTTAATTTATTTTAATTAATAATAAATTTTTCTTCATTTTTATTTTCATTTTAAATTTCGCTAAGAGCTCATTTAAACGACTTAGTGTTCCACATAGAATGCCTAGTTTCATCTTCATAATAAAATGGGAATTTCTGAAAAAAGTCTTTTAAGTGCTCTCTATTTTCCTTTATTTTCGAAGCCTCGAAATGGATAGCTCTGTATAACTTCGGCCGAATATGGCCCAACAAGGCTCTCTTTTGCTTGTTGTATGTGACAAAGTCATGTATGCTTCTAACGGTCAAGGACAACACACATATGTCATTTGACTATTGTTGTGCGATTGACGGTTGTTATAACAACAAAAAGCTAATGCCAGAGCCAAAGCCAAAGCCAAAGCCAAAACAAAACAAAAACAAAAGTGCGCTCCATTCATGATATTAAAGCAAATTTTAGTTAAATAATTTAGTTAAGTGCGTAAGTGCTGGCGAATCAGACGAAATTAAGTTTCACGCATGCACACATAACTGTGCATGTGTTTTCTATATACACATACATACTCGTATTTAGATTGACAACTACATTTCGCTTTTAACAACAAATTGTTTTGTTTAGAAAAATTCAAATTGAAAAAATGTGTGTGGCGTTTTTATGCTGAAATTGTTGTAATAAATTTCTAATATCTATCTAACTGTAGTAAAAATATATTTAATCGCTTGCAACGAAACTCAGTAGCGACAACCAACGACAGCGGCGTTCGTGTGTAGTGAAGTGTCGTGGAAAATTACGCATAGCGGTATTTCTGAAGCACAAAAATCGAAATTCGAGTGATTTGAGAAACTAAAATTTTCTGTCATTGTGCGAGTTGAGTTTTATTTTTTATTTTTATTTATATAAACAAATAAATATTTATACAATTGCGGCGGGAGACACGTGAAATATTTTTCCAAATTCTCGAAATCAATAATGGCCACCTTCGAATTCGACATACGCCACTTGTTTCCGCAGCCCATTGTGAAGGTCACCTCAACACTACTGCCGCACACCTTTCACGGCCAGCAACAGCAAGCACTTGAAGCCACCGCCAAGATTTCGGCAATTATCGATCGTTTGGGCGAGCTCTCCGCGAACGCACAGAAGCTGAACAAACCGATTACAACCGCACAGAAACTACGCCAGTCGGACAATCAAGTCGTCTACCTAATGGCGGATGTGGCAAAAGGCAGCGAACGCGGCGATGAGGTTGTGGGTCTTTTGAAAATCGGCACCAAAGACTTGTATCTGTTCGATGAACTTGGGCAGGCGCGTAAAGTGGACAACGTGCCATGCATATTGGACTTTTACATACATGACTCACGGCAACGCATGGGTTTGGGCAAAAAGCTATTTGAGACTATGTTGAATGAGGAAAAGTGGAATCCCGTCAAGTGTTCTGTGGATCGGCCGTCGGAAAAACTTTTGGGTTTTTTGAAGAAACACTATGGCTTGGAGCGTGCGATACCGCAAGCGAATCATTTTGTGCTCTACGATGGATTTTTCGAGCATGAGAAGAGCAGCGAGAAGGTAACGGAATTGACGCGTTCACGTAGAATGCTCATGACCAATCGGTATTTTTGAAAAGGCGAGTGAGCGTATGACTGTTTTAGAAAATATACGGCATATTCAATATTATTGACTGCCATGAGAGAAGAACAGAGAAACGCTTGCATAGTTTTGTATTTGTATATACGTATATTTCCTAAAATTTATTATAAAAAAAAATAATTAATTGCCTATTAATCTGAATCTGAACAGAACTAGACTTTTGAAAGGAAGAATAATAATTTTACCATATATATGTATTAATATTGTTCATTATATTGCAAAAAAAAAGAGAAATAATTTAAGAGAATTTAGAAAAAACCTTGCATAAAAAACCAAAAAATAAAAAACTGAAAATAAATAAAAATTTCAAAAAGCTGAAAAAATTATTCAAATTGTACGCGCCGTCAAAATTCGCACTCCGCTTGACTTGAACCCCTGCGTTCCCAGAGCACTCATAAACTACTCGGTATTAAAGACATGGTCATGTTTGCATTGGCTGCTCTGGCTTTCCTTGACTTGTTTTACTTTGAATACTTGTAAGGCTAAGTGAGCGCCAAAGCACAGTTCTCATGGCGAAGCAAGCAAACCCAGCTTATATTGGGACAGAGCTTTTAGGGAATTATGAGACAGAGTTTCAAACTCCTTTGCTTACTTGAGCATATTTGCGTAAGATTCAAAGGCTTCTTTTGGTGACCGACCGCTAGAGTATATTGAGTTTATGCAGGGAATATTTTTACAGACAGCGCTGTAGCTGTGAAAGTGTAACCCAAGACACCCCGCCAATTTTAAGCCAGCTTTCGGAGATGGCAAAGGAGGTGTCTCTATGCCGACATGTCTGATTTTAACACCCTTACAACACTTACAAATACGATTATATAAACTAATGCGAGCCGAGCAATAGCAATAGCCGAGCGGTTATCGTTACGTACTATCATTTGAAAGAGCAGTATTTGAGGCGGTCACCCCTCGACAGGAAATGTCAAGCTCTTCAAATGTATTTTTGTCATATAAATCTAACGGCAGTTTCCTCCAAGTTGACTCTTTATCGAAAGAAAATCTGAGCCTTTGATCCAACACAACATTAGTTTTGCCAATAGCTTCTACTTTGAACGGAGTGGGCAATCGAAAAGTCTACTATAAATAAACAGAAACCAAACTCTATAAGCTGCTCATTATTCTCTTACTAATGTACGATGCGAAAGAGTGGACGATGACTACATCTAATGCGTCTGCTATAGGAATTCTCGAGAGAAAGGTTTTGCGGAATAATTATGGTCGCCTGCGTATCCCTGAAACGATGAACTGTGCTAGACTAAAACGCCTAAACGAACTAAAATATGTCAAATGAGCTGACTACGACAGTATGAAAGACGTTGGTAAGTAGAGTAATTGGGAGAACGGAGGGGTTTGGCTTCAATTAGGGGCTTTTGTTGGAGTCTATGATGATCTATTTCAATTGAGTTTCTTATCGACGGCAGGCATTCCCTTGTCAACGAGTTCAACACCTCCGATAGCTTTCTAATTTTTGAATAGTGGTTTCCCAAAAAAACCCTTTAGCTACTCGCAGACTGTTGGAGCCGGATTTCTAGGGAGTATAACACGCTGATATATGAAAAATCACTCTGGGAGATGAGGTGGCGTAGCACCTGCCACATAAAATAATGTCTATCAGGCCTTCCTTGACACAGATATATGTGCATATATATATACGAATATCTGCACTAGTATTTATTTAATCAAAGAGAATAAAAATATGAATAAACGCACTGTCCATCCAATGTATGGCTCAAACACGCCTATTGCTTTCTTTTTCTTGCCATAAAAAGTTTATCTTATTGTTGTAGTTTGACTGAAATTGTACAAGAAAGTTGAATTAAAAATTGTGATATTAAATATTTTATATTCTAACGAAACAAATCTCTCCTTAAACGTGGCAAATTACAATAACTAACGTTTTTTGGCTTTTAATTTAGTTGTTTTGTTGTTGTTTGCTTGGTTTTGGTTTTGTCGAAAATCCCAATCAAAACAATGGCCAATAACAATAAAGACATAAAAATTTATTGACTTGTCCAAGTAAAACGACCAAACAATCACAACAGCAACAACGACAACAACAGCAACAACAACAACATAATCCAAAAATCACAAATAAAGATTAAAAAAATCAAACTCAATTGTATTTATTTATTGATCGGTCAAGCAATTTATCGTCGCCTGCGCCAGCGTTGCCCGTTCGCCGTAGCAGAAGAGAGCCTCAGCAGCTAAGAGACACACTTTGGCCTGGCTAAGAGCGAGTGTACAGGTGTAAGAGATCACATGAAATCCGCCACTCACAAGCATACACACACACGCATATATAAATAAAATTTGTTTTTACATACCACAGCTATGCTCATGTGTATGTTTGTATGTATATGCACATGTGCGAGGTTTCGTTTGCGTCGACTTCAAGCTGCATTTTTATTTAATAATAATTTGTCACAGATTGAAATTGTCCGTTGAAACAAGTTTTTTGTAGCAGCTAATATGAGTTTGGCTTGAAACTTGCAACAAACAATCCTGTGCTTCTGTGAGCGGCGAGCAGTGAGCAGCGAGCAGCGGACTCGGCTTCGGACACGACAAGTAAGCGTATGTACAAGTGCATGTACACGTACGTATGTATCTATGTATGCGCTCGTGTTAAGTTGCTTTAGTTGGAAAAGTCACGTGTTGAGTTATGTAAATAGTGGAGGGGGAGTTGTATTCATGTACATATGTATATATTACATATACATATTATATGTACATATATTTGGAAGTTGTTACAAATATTGCCCTGTAAATGGTAAAACGAATGCTGTCGGTTGAAGAGCTTATAATTGTATGCGAAAAAATCTATAAGCAACTCCGCTTGAAGAAAGTGAAGTCTAGACATGTGGATATTCTGCTGGGCTTTTACTGCATTCCCGAGCTTGCGAGCGAAAGTGGCTTCCTAAAATGTTTAGGGCGGTACGAGCCTGTAGGGATTCGTTTGGAAAAGACAGCTATTAAATGGAAGTCGAGGCCACGCAACTAGCCTTTGGTGTGACCGTTCCTTATCGGTTCTTGTTGAGCCAAATTGTCTTACCTTTTTAAATCCTTAATGGATTTCAAAGGCCATCCCTGTTTAGCTTGTAAATTTTGTCGCTGATTGAGCAATGTTTCTTCTTCTATCTGATTTATCGAGCCACCGCTTTCGCGGTTCAAGCTGAACCAATAATACATCGCTTCTTTTCACTTGTAGGAACTATTTGGTAGCCTTTTAGCCTTCCAACAAAGTGAAAGTCTTTCTCTTCCTCTGCTTCCATTCGCAAGTATTACTTCCGAACCGAACAAAAAGGCCTAGGCAACCCTACCACTTAATGTGTTGAACTCTATGTCGCCGAAGATCTCAAAAGTCTTCCGCAGAACTTTGCTCTCAAAAACTTCTGTTGAGGACTCCTCGCATACCATATAGCATAGCGGAAATGAGTAGCGAGCTCTAGTGATTAATCTGTGTTCGTCGAGGGAGGTTTTTATATTCCAATTGTCCACTCAGTCCCATGCAGCACCTGTTGACAATAGTCTTTTTGCGTTGGTTTTCGATTCCTTCATTCTGATTAATGAAAATCTTGGTTCTACTGTTGCGCCAGCCATTTAAAGTTTTTACTAAGCTGCTTGACGGACAAATCGAATATCGTGCTATTAAAAGGTTCTTTCCAAAGCAAGAAAAATTAGTGATGATGAAGACGTCTCGAACCCAGCGGAAAGCACTGAGGTGAGGTGAAAAAAAAATTTCATCGACTGAAGAAAAAAACTGCTATAAAATGTCGGATACTCCGCACAACAATTTCTAAAATTCTTCCCGATCATCTTGGCATGATTAAGATCAGCGCAAGATGGGTGCCGAGAATGCTCACGCCTTCACTAAACCAACCAACGTAGAGTGCTCATGTAAATTTTTGGGCCTCTGTAATGAAGCAATGGATGGTCTATACAGTCGAAATGCCCAGGCCTGGCCTGGAGAGATCATTAATTGTTTCCAAAAGGAAAAAAAGGTCTGAGGTAAAACATTGATGATGAACTAAGAGAGACAGTTTCGGCGTATTTCGGAGATGAAGGGAAATAATTTTCCAAGAGAGTATAAAAAAAGATTCGGAAAGCCACAAGACAGTTTAATATATGGGAGAGGAAAAATAATTTATATTTTTATCTCCAACCCATAACAATACTTCCTCGTATATCCTATATCAGTATTCCGCTCTGATTTCGTTCCACGGCTGTTCGAAGCCGCTGCCTTTTGGTCAGTTTGTGGAGCCTCCATACCCAACCGGGCATCTTGCAATCATCTTTTCTACTTAAACACAAGTTATGGACGTTCGAAGTGGCTGATAAAAAAATTCCAATGGTATATTAAATAAAAATGAATCTAAAATGTATTGTAAAATTACTACTATTTATTTATTGTTTTTTCAAATTTTTATTAGAATTTATAATTAATAGACTATTCCAGCTATGCTGATGGTTATCTCCGCAGATAAGCCACCAAGAACTTCCGAGAAATTACGCTAAGCCACGCACGTATGCCACATTTTTAAGCAGACACTTAAGTTCATGCATACATACAAATGTACTTCTATACAAACACACACATACATACACATACGTATGTATGTATGAAATGGCAGTTCGGTACGCTTATGATTTTTGAACTCTACAATAACACCCACTTGTACAGAGCAACCGAACAATTTGTCTCTTCCAGCAGGCTCGGGAAGCACAACAAACACACACACATACACATACACATTAACACACTCTCATAAATGTACTCATGTGTGTGTGCGTGAGTTGAAATGGGGAGCTCTTATGCTCATTTTGCCCTTTCGCAGAGTCCTCTCTTCTGCGCCTTGCGCGTCTCAACAGCGCGCGTTGTGTCCATTGTGTCCTCACAGTTTGTGTGTATTTTTTATTGCTGCCTTAATAAAAGTGATCACCTTTCGTCCCGCACCTGCCCACTCTCTAGCACTTCACACCGCCGCTGCTGCTGTTGCTGCTGCTGCTGCTGCTGCTGCTGCTGCTGATTGCTCAAAAGTGTTTTTCGAGGCGTTTATAAATGAGTGCGACTGCTGTGTCAATTGTCTGAGACACCAGCGAACACACACGCGCACACAACCACATACACAGGCCACGAGTATGCACACAACGACAGTTGGCAGTGACAAACAGAATAGTGCAGGCGGGAAGCACTTGCAGTGGAACCG